GTATACAGGGTCGCTATGGGTCGGAACGGAATTGACACCACAACATCTTGTGTATTGTTTATAGTGTATAGATGTTTGGAATCACTGTTAGAGAACTGTCCCACCATGACAAAGATCCCTTATGCTACTGCCTACCCTTTAAAGTCACACGTAACCACTTCTTATCCCTAACCCCGGGCAACCACTCATCTTTTCTCCATCTCTATAATTTTGTCATTTTGAGAAAACTACAGGCTTTTCTGGAGATTTAATTATTTAATTCAGCACAATTCCTTTGAGGTCCATCTATATCAACAATCCACTCATTTTTAGTGCTGACTAGGTAGGATAGTGGTTACAAATTGGGCTGCTAACCTCAAGGTCATTAGTTCGAAACTACCAGCTGTTCTGCAGGAGAAAGATGAGGCTTTCTGCTCCCATAAAGATTTACAGCCTCGGAAACCCTATACAGGGTAGCTATGAGTCGGAACCGACTCCATAGCACAAAATAACCATATTCCATTTTACAGATGTACCAGTTTAACCATTTGGGATGTTTCTAGTTTTGGGTTATTACAAATAAAGCTACTATGAACATTATAAACAGGCTTCTAAGTAGACCAAATTTTTCTGGAATAAATGCCCAGAAGAGGAATTGCTGGGTCCTTTGCAGAACTTTTCTTATCTTTCCCTTTACACACCAATGGCTATTTCCCTTCAAGATGTTGTCTCCTGTTTTATCTTCCTGGAAACCAGATTCATGAGCGCTCACACTAGGTTTGGGCATTTCCTTACTCAGGGTGTGGTCCACTGTTGCTGGGAATGAACCCTAATGGTGGTTCATCACATTCTTTCTGTGCAAGCCCCACCTAACAGGTCTGATGAATTGACCTGCTAGTTTGAGATGTTTATTTCCTCACAGATCTGTAAACAAGTTTGTAGTACTGTCTTCTAAATGCCTGATGGTGGTGGTGATGAGCTGTGGAATCAGTTCAAACTCATGGCGACCCTGTATAGGGTTTCTGAGGAGTGGCTGGTGAGTTCAAACCACCGACATTGCAGTTCAAACCAACATTGTGGCTCAGTGCTTATCCTACAGCACCACACCAGGACTCCAGACTAGCTATAGACTTTGTAAAATAGATTATGTAGTGAGCATCATGAAAAAGCATGATACCCTCAAAATAATTTATCAAGAACTAAAGTATAGATATGACATAGCCTAAATTTTAGAATTTCTCCATCTCCACTAAGAATTCAATCAGGTAATAGTATTTTCTAGTGTTTACTGATGCTCACGTTGTTTTAATTTTGAATCCTCACAATTCCATGAAATTAGTTTTCCCTTTTTGCTTTAATGTTGCTCATTTTACAGACAAGTCAGTAGACGTTATTTTTACAAAGACTAGCTATGTTGTTAAGTGCCATTGAATCGGTTCCAACCCATAATGATGCTGTATAGGGTTTCTGAGGAGTGGCTGGTGAGCTTGAATTGTTGACTTTGTGGTTCAAACTAACCTTAAAAGTCCAGTGCATTAACACCCAGTAGCATACCAGGACTCCAAGACTAGCTATGAACTTGGTACAAATAACTTCTATTGACTTCACTTACATATAAAATGTTATGTGCCGTGGAGTCAGTTCCAACTCATAGTGACCCTGTACAAGGTTTCTGAGGCTGTACATTTTTATAGGAGCTAAAAGCCTCATCTTTCTCCCATGGAACTGCTGGTAGTTTTGAACTGCTGACCCTGAGGTTAGCAGCCTGATTCGTAACCACTATGCCACCAGAGTGCCTGTCTATAAAATGAGCAAGCTTAAAACCAAAGGAAAAAAAGTTAATTTCATGGAACTGTGAGGATTAGAATATCAAAAGGACTTAACATGAACATCAGTAAACACTCAGAAAATACTAGTATCTGATTGAGTTCTTAGAGGAGATTGGAGAAATTTTGTAATTTAGATGTCATTTCTAGACTTGTTTTTGTTCTTGATAAATTATTCTAAGGGTATTTTATGCTTTTTCATGATGCTCACTGCGAAATCTATTTTAGATTATATGCCTAGAAGTTATTGAGAATATTGTTGTTAAGTGCCGTCGAGTCGGTTCCGACCCATAGCGACCCTGTACAGGGTTTCCGAGGGTGTAAATCTTTACTGGAGTAGAAAGCCTCATCTTTCTCCCGCAGAGCGGCTGGTAGTTTCGAACCGCTGACCTTAAGGTTCACAGCCTGATTTGTAACCACTACGCTACCAGATTTTTGAGGAGCTAGAGTGCAAGGGCTTTGGAGTTAATGAGTGTCCTGTTCTTACCAATTTCACGGCCTTCAATAAGCACTGGACTGTTTTTTTGTGACTAAATATGATACGCTAGCAGTCTGGTATAGACTGTGCTTTTCTCCTGAGGAGGCAAAACCATAATTCTTTGGTGACTTCAAGTCAATGGATTAGAAAATAATGTTATAGAACCTTTATTCTGTCATCTACATATTTCAATAGGATTTCTATTGTACTTCTACATCATTCACCAGGGGTTCACCTCAGGTCCAATTAAAACACTCAAGACCAAGAAAACTACAATCAGTCACACCTGGCACCAATTTATTCAGAAAGACATAGGGGGTCAAGTAGGGTGATTTCGGGGTAGGCCTCTTTTCCAGACTTTGCAAACATCCACAAAGCTCTCCAAGAATGGTCATCTTCCCAGTTCCAGGTTCTCATAAGGGCCTGCTGTTAAAGGAGTTTCCACACCCAAAGCTGTGGTTTCATACCAACAATCTGGAATTTTCCCAGTTCAGATGCAACTTACCAGTCAGGTCATTTTTATCAGAAGCAAACTTGCTTGGTAATAAAGTTGACACATACTATTGTATAATTTTCAGGTTAAGAAGAGCAGATGATGGTTAACTGAAGTCAGCAGAGGAAATATTTTGTTAAGTCTTTTCGCCCTCCACTGTCTAGGAGAGGAACAGTACTAAAGAAAACACTTGTTTTTTTTTCCTGGAAGACCAATGCCTGATTTTGAAAACACTGGTTTGTGCCCCTGATCCATCTATTGGCTCAGTGGTGGGAGGGAGAGTCACGAAGTCACGAAGTGAAATAGCAACATGAACCCATCTGAGCCTATCTCTCTTGCCTATTTCCTGTCTATTCTTGCACTTGCACTTGTGATTTCTTTATGGTTAGCCCAGCACAGAATGGGAATGGGAATGGGAAAGGATGAGAACAAGTGAGAAGTGGGCCACAGTACTCGAGTTTCTCAGACTGCCAGTGAGTAACCTAAAGCCTCCTGTCTTTACAGAAAACAGCTCAGTGATATTCTCATATTCTTCCTCTTATCACAGCAATACCTTCTTTGTGTATTTCACAGTGGTACCTTCTCTGTGTCTAATATTTAACTAATGGTACATTTTAAGCAGTTTTCCTTTTATGAAGACTAGTTAACCTCAGTTGCAAAAAAAAAAAAAAACATTTTTTTCCACCTTTAAAAAAAAAATTCTTTAAGGCTTCACAATAACCAAAAAGTAGTGAGAATTTGGGAACGGAGTCTATTCAACCAAGTGGGATCACTGCTTTATCTAATTTTGAGTAAAAATGCAGAACACAATTTAATGTGTAGAAAAATAAAATTTTTGTAACAAAAACTATTTAGGGAAATTAAATTTTATACTAGTACTTTCTGTATGCACTTAGCAGTGAGTGATGTGTTACAGAGATCACATTCTAAGAAGTCAGTTCCATGGTTATAAAAATTTTTTTAAAGTTATTTAATGAAATTTACAGTGCATATTGAAAGTATGATACAAATGGAAATGTAAATATCTGTATTAGTAAGGAAGCCCATTCACATAAGATTTTATTATACATCTTTGTCATTTAGCAAATGCCCTTAATAATGAAGAACAATTAAAAAGTGTCATTTTTTTTTTATTTAGGACAAAAATAATTTGGTCTATGTATAAAGAGGGGAGAGCCCAAAGATTTTTATATATGCTTATTTAACCCAGATACATAGAATTTTCTTGAATTTAAGAGGAGTGGAAATAATTTAATAGAAAATTGCTAGTCTCATTTGAGTGTTTAAATGCTTAAGTAACTCCTCAATCCATCTGATTTTATAAACTGAAATTTGGAACACAAACAGAAGCAGCAAAAGTTCACATTTCCTTTTATATGTTCCTCAGTATCAAACTGTATCATTTTATTAGGAGTTAAATTTGAAGAACACCACAGATTTAAAAACAAGAGTATAGAAGTGCCTGATTCTTTTTAATTCCACAAATACCTAGGATTCCAAAGAAACATGTAAACAAACTTCTATGTTGCTCAATGAATTATTTCTAATCTCTACAATAAACTAAATGGTATCAGTTCTAACATATGACTTTTATGTAAGTTATGGTTTCATTCATTACTTTGCCTGTATTACTGATGTAGCAAAGAGGAAAACTTTTCAACTACTGTATTTATTTAAAACATATCAACAGGTTCAAGCACCTGTCCAGAAAAGCCAGCAGCATTTCTTAATATATTTCAAAGTAAGATTTTGCCTAAGCCCTTAATACCTTCCTGAACAGCCATGCAACTAAACACCCTTAGGAGATGTTGCATAAGGGAAAACAACACGGAGCAATTTGCACTTTTCCCCTGGATTCTAGAAACAAGGTAAAGCAAATCCAGATCTGTTTGAATGAATGGCTGTCATGTTTAATACACTTGTGGCTCTATAAAACTAGAGCCACTATCATACGCTCATATATAATTAAGTTTTGATAAAGTCTTGCTTGCTTCAAAATTTAAGGATGGTCTTTTTCCTGGTCAGTTACTTCAAGGAAACAATAAATAAAGTAGAAAAGGATGATTTCTTTTGCATATTTCTGTGAAAGAACAGAAAACATTTATACTTTGAGAGGTTCAGAAAATTCACTGTACAGAATGAACAGCTTATATACACTATTTGTGCCATTTTTCTTGGCTGGGGTATTTAAATGCAAGAGCTCCTCCAAAACAAGAAGCCACATTCATTCTTGTCCAAATCCCTCTGTCTCTTCTATTGCAAAAAGAAGTTTTTCCTTTAGTTGTTCATAACTCTTATATGGTGGTAGATCCAAGCGATTAAAACTAAATAAAAACAGAAACAAAATCAGATGTGTTTTCAATAAAACAAACTCTGAAAATATTTCTAATACAGTAATTTTTAAAACACACTGGAAAAACTGAATAGATCAAAGAATTATGCTATATATATAAAATCTGCCAGATATATAATTTACTACTATAATAATATTCGAGTAGTATAGTATTAACATATCCTAATTTCAGAAAGCAGTCTATTCACATTTAAGATCTATACATATAATGGATTACAAATAAATAATAAGGATGATGACTTTGGAATTAAAATAATTTTCTTTTTTGTACTATTTTTACTGCATTATGTCATAAATCCTTTTACCGTTTCCTGGGTTAACAGGGCCTCATTCATTCATTGGTTATTTACAGACCAGCTCTTCTCTATCAGGTGTTGTTCCAGTAACCATTGATATGTAGTTAAGCACTACTGACTGAGTTCCGACTCATAGTGACTCTGTTCCAAGGAGCGGCTGGTGGATCTGAGCTATCAACCTTGAGGTAGCAGTCCGGTACTTATCTTACAACCCCATACCCCATACCAGGACTCTAGGTGGCTATTGCTATAGGGGTGAAAAAGCTCCTGTCCTTATGGAACTTACATTCTGGGGTGGAGATAGTCAAACAAACATGTATTTTGTTTTTTCAAATAATCACATATGTTTATCCTCTTCTAAATGATGCTTTTTCAACCCTACCAGACTCAAAGAATTCCCTTCTTATCAGGATTAACTGGTGAGAAATGGGAAAATATTGAAAACATCAATGCATTGTTTTTCAATTTACAATGAACATTTAATTTTATGAGACAGCACAGAGTAGTTGAATTAGGATTTGCATATTGAGGGTTTTGGTCTCTGCTCTATTAGTGGCTAACTAGCTCTGAGCAAGTCAGACCTTTCTGTGCCTTCATTTTCTCATCTGGGCCATTTGTGGAGGTTCCCCAGATTCCCTCTAACCACTCCCACCACTTCCCACGGGCTCCTGCCTCCACTCAATGTGCCTACAGACTCATCCTAAAGGGAAACCTGGGAATTAAGTGCCTTTTGAAAACAAAGCAGGCAATTAAAATGGTGCCCTTGTCAGAACACATTCTGTCCCTATTTTAAGAAGTTAGATATATTAATGGTAACAATTCAAAAGACTATATAATGCCCTCCCCTTTTCATTTTAACCTCATGCTTCAAGGTAGAATGATAGTCAGTTGAGGTCAGGAAAAAAATTCATTTTTCAACAGTCCTATACTAAGAAAATCAGTCACTTGCTAATTCTCTTATATTTTTCACATGTGGCCTTTGTCAAATTCTGTCATTTCATCTACCAGATCCCTCCCATCTTTTCCCTCCTGAAATTTCTTTAGCCACTGCATCCTTGTGTATGTACTTCTTCATTCTAAGAATCTCCTGCCTACTCACCTCATTTGCCTCCATAACCTATTTAGCCTTAAGGCACTGCCAGAGGTACATCCCTAAGAAGACATATACCAGTTTATGTTGCAAAACTGTTTTGTTGCCTTACAATCATTACTGCAGGGATGGGAGAATACAAGCCTACGTATGCTCTTCAGTCTAGCCCCCATCAACTCAACGTTCCCAAGCATACGACAAGACCTACATAAGACCTCTTTCTTTAAAGTGTTGAAGAGCAAAGATGTAAGTCTGAGGACTAAGGTGCATCTGCCACAGCCATGGTATTTTCAATAACCTCATATGCATGTGAAAGTTGGACAGTGACTATGGTCATACTTGAGCTATGGTGTTGGAGGAGAGTATTAAACATACCATGGACTGCCAAAAGAACAAGCCAATCTGTGTAGGAAGAAGTACAACCAGAATGCTCCCTGGAAGCCAGGGTGGCCAGACTTCATCTATCATACTTAGGACATATTGTCAAAAGGGACCAATCCTTGAAGAATGATGTTTGGACAAGTAGAGGGTCGGGAAAAAAGAGGAAGACCCCTAATGAGATGGATTGGCATGGTGGCAGCAGTGACAGGCTCAAATGTAGCAATGGTTGTAAGGTTGGTACAGGACTGGGCGGTGTTTCGTTCTGTTGTACACAGGGTAGCTATGAGTTGGTACCGACTCCAGGCACATAACAACAAAAGCAACAGTAAGTATATAACACACTTTTCTGTTTCTTTAACCATATGCTTGTGGTTCTCTTACAGTATCCTGGAATATCCTTTCCAGCCTATGAAAACCAAGGATTAGTTCAAATAGGACCACTTCCTCCACGTAGTTCTCCTTGAGTGTCTTACATAGACTTAAGCTCTGCTCCCTTGTGTTTTATTTCGATCCTAACATTTACTTTAATCAACTGTGTATTCTGAGTGACTGGCTTATCTCATTAGATTCTAAAACCCATGAATGAGGGCAGAGTCACCTCTTTAGTCTCACAACACTGATCTCTGATTTCTATATGATACTAATTGTTGGTAAGTGCCATCGGGTTGCTTTCAACTCATAGTGACCCTGTATATGGTTTCTGAGGACCAGTTTGTGGGTTTGAATTACTGACTTTGTGGCTAGCAGTCCAATGCTTATCCTAGAGTGCCACGCCAGAACTCCTTCCATTTAGGAGATGCTTAGTAAATATTAAGGGAACTGAATAAGAAAGTAGTTCATTTGAAAACACCCAGAGTTTTGAGAACACCCAAAGAGAGTTCTGGTTTAAGACAATTATCTTTATGTTTTGCATAAGGACAAAGAAATACTAAAACCCACTCATCTTTTCTGTTAGAGTTACTATGTGACTATCAGAATACTGTAGACTTCAAGGCTTTAATTCAGTTTTACTTACAGTTCTTTTTGAGTTTGAATTGTGACGTGTACACACACAAGGTCAAAGCTACTACTTCTAATTTCTTACCTATAAATTCTAGACTGACCAATACATTTCCCAAATAGTCGAAGGGAGAGTACTCTGCAGCTTGCTATACCATTATAAAGAACCTGAAGAACCTCTGCCCAGAAAGCTGCCATCTCACTGAGCAAAGCACTGGAACAACAGCTGTAGAACCTGTGTCCTTCTGAGAATCAAGGCCAATTCCCTCAGATTTTATCACAGCTTACGTTGGGCACCGTAGTCACTGCTAAAAGTATAGTCTTTCTGGCTCATCCATTATGAACCAAACACTCATCCCAGTACTGATCTGTGTTTCCCCTGATTTGAATTAAATCCCCACTGCCTTCCTCCATCTCAAATCTTTTCAATCTGTTCTTTGACATTTCAGTTAGTGGTATATACACACTCAAACTCAAATAGTCTTAAAAACTCTTCTCTCTTGATTTTACTGAAACCCAGGTAGTGTGAAACACCGTTTTTCCTGCCATCAAGAAAACTCTGCAATCTCTCTGAACTCACTGCTGTCTTCTTCTGACCAGGCTCCCTCACTGAGAGCTTTAGGTTTTGGTTCACTGGCCCCGTTCATTCATGCCCATGGCATGCAATTCCATGGTCTCCCAGGTCTGTATCTTGACCTACGCCAGTGACCTGTTTTCCCACTTTTCTTCAGTTACTGATCCTCAGATCATACTTTGGACTTTGCTATAACCAGTAAAGGGAATTTCTAAGTTAAATGTCCTACTTTCGAACCATCTGTCTTTCCAGCTTACTTCAGTTACAATGCCAGCCTATGACCCTTTTACTTTCTCACTATCCTATCTGATCCACAGCTTCTCCTGCCCTTCCTTCTTTATTTAGTCCATCATTATAATTACTTTAGAGACTAAAGCTCATCATTTTAATCACTACTGTGCAAATACTTTCAAATCCTGTCTTTCTCTCCCACTTTTAAACTTAACAGGCAAAATTTAAATCCTGAACCTATTCAGCTTTCTTGTAGTAGCTGAAAAATGCTGGGGCCCAAAAGCCATACAACTACAGGTTATGGTCACTTTAAATTAACTACTAAATCGAAGCGGGCAATCCAATACTGTCCAGCATTCTATGTCATGTTTCTCTAATAAACACTTGCCTAATCTGTTGACTTTCATTCTTTCTCCTCAAAATTTTCTTCTTTTTTCACTCCTAAATAGGGACTTCACCTTGTGCAGTGAACTACTTACTTCCTATGTTTCTTCTAATCAGAGTCTTTGTAAGGCCCACCAAACTTATTTTTCTTGATGGGTCTGAGTGTGAGGGAAGATGCTGATGAATTATATGACTCAGTTATGATTATCAGTAGAGTTAATTGTAAATCTTGGGACTCTAATGTGGGTATAAAAGGAGCCACCTCAGAAACAGGAGGGAGGTGATCTCACTACCATTAAAGGAAACCAAGAGTGGAGCCCATCCTTTGGAGCCTGAGATCCCTGAACACTGAAGCTCTAAGACCCAGGGACTGAAAGCTGTGATACTGGAGCAGTGGCGGAGCAGCAGCAGCAGCAGAATCAAGAACCAGATCCGAGACAGAGCAGTGGGTTTACAGACAAGGGGCAAGTAAAGCTGAGGGACTCTGGGGAGTGAGGTTTGCTTGCACAGTGGGGTGCCTTCAGGCACCTGGTTGGGGAAGGTACATTTGCTGATCCATGTGCCTACTGGCTGAGGCTTAAGGTGGAGTGGTGTGCCCCTTGGGCATTTATCAGTAACTGTAAAAGAGCTCTTAACTTTGCCTGGGTGGAGAGAAGCCTGCCAGTGGGCACAACAGAGGAGAGGTGGTCTTGACTGGAAGAATGTGTCCTGAATATTTCTTTTTTTCTTAAATGTTTTATTGTGAATTATGTGATAGTTTACATGGGAGAACATTAGTTTTACATTCATTCTATCGTATATCATCTCACTGCCATGGTTACAATCCCCTCCATGCAATCCTTCCCCCGTACCCCCAGGTCTTCAGCACACAGTCGCTCTCCCTCTCTGGATCTAA